GCTGGTGAACTGGACTCCAGCTCTCTCCCAGTGTGGACTGGGATTGAACCCCCCACTCTCAGCAGGATGAATCATGTAGCCTGCCCCGATACACACACACACACACACACACACACACACATATATAGACATCAGTACATTTATTTTCCAGTTGTGTAAATGGTTTGTGTTTTTCTTTACAACAGATTGAATTTAAAGATCTACTTATGATTCCAAACAGGTTGAAGCAAATAATAATTTATGTCTTCGAGGTTTTTCCGAATTAATCAGGAGTATGTTTTTTGTTTCATAATGTTTTCTGATCCGTTTTGAAATATTATATTTAAATTTGATCTGAGATTCTAAAAGAGCTATTAGATGTTTGAAGCTTCTCAGTAATCTGATAGAAATGTTGTTGATTTTATTTCCTGCTACTTTGGAACGAGGGATGTTTTCCTTCTTGGTTTTGTAGAAACTGATCAGTGATGCTCTGAATCACTTGTAATGGTTACGTAAATGAAAGACGAATGAAGTTTCTCCTTTTGACCCTTTTCGTACTTTTGTCTTGCTTTTCAATAAATTACCCAATACTCCAAATGTCTGTGTCTTGTGATTCCATATGCTTACTCATCTGTGACTGTAAGTACAATTACATGAATATTGTTGCTGTTTTGTGTTTTTACTGCCCTTAGAATTGTAAACTTTGTGATCTTCAGTTCATTGATTTAAAGGATACTGTGAGTTGCTGGATATGAAGACTCACATCGTCTGAAATAGTTGTATGAATAATGATAGAAAAGTTCTTGTCAACACATTGTCCATGTTGTGATTGTAGAAGCTACAATGATCTGAATATTCAGTGTTCTCTATTGTCTCAGAGACCAAATGAACGCGTCTCTGTCCTGCAGATATTCAACGAAAGCAGGAAGAGCAACATGTTTGTGGCAAACCGGTGATTCCTCACAGAGATCTGAAGGGGATTTTACACTTGACCAGAAAACACATGAGAGGCTTTTGTTTGAGACCTGCGTTCTCTAGTAAGAAAGGTGTTAACACAATTTTTTTCTCATCTATATATATTTATACATGTATATAGAAAAAATCATACAAAGGATTCATGTTATTTCTGATTTCTCATTGTGTGTGTGTATGCTCTTCTTCTGGCTGCTCCTGTGGTGCTTTAGGTTTTCCCTGTCAAAACCTGTTGCACTGAAATCTGCCTGGCAACTGATGACTTTACAACTGTCAGGAAATTCTCCGGTTGTGTTGCTCCTCCAAATCAACTCTATCTTTCTTACTAGATGTAATGTATTACAGGTTATACCTACAGTATGAAACATCAAATACATACTATGTATCATTAGTATAGCTGTGATGACAACACTTTGTGTGGCCTTTGGTTCTAAATGTATTAATTAATTTCAATTCCTGCTCGCATTCTATGACCTTTAAAGTTTCACTTAAGTGAAAGAAAACAAACATCCTTTCAGACCTGTGAACATTAAGATGGTTGACCTTTTTCATAAAGATCATTGTACCTCTTTGATCAAAACCTATGTGGCCGAGTTCTGCATAGAAACAGATGACATCACAGCCGTTCTCACAAACATTTTATTGTTATACTTTAAAGTATAAATGATGTAACAAACCATATTTAAATATGCAAACGTTGGTTTAACATTAAGTGATATGACCCAGTTTCCTTAGTATTAATATGGATTTATTAGTTAGATCCCAGTTATCAGGAATATGATAACTTTAAAAATCTCGTCGAACAGGTTTTATTCTGGAAAGGTTTGGCACTTCCTGAATGCCCAACGATAATAAAACCGAAATCTGTAACGATCAGACCCTGCATCTAAAATGTTTCTTCCATAGCTCAAAATAAAATATATAAAAACCTCAATGACACAATCATATTGAATAATGTGGTTGACAGTAAAACAAGGACAGAGACCAGAAGAACTGCTGGAGAAAGGATGAAAAGCCTTGAAATCGAATTCTTGTCATTTTCAGTGACGTGTGACTGCTTCACTCAATTTTCATCATCGTCAGTTCAATCAATCATTACAGGACAGAGCAGGGAGTTGAGCAACAGGCTTTATTAGAGCTGTTATGTATTATGTATTATGTAAGATTATTTTGAACAGGATGTCTGGTTAACACAAACTACTACACGGAACCATGTGAGAATCAACTAACACACCTGCATTACATATAAAGAACAAATACCAAACAAAGATCTTAACAGTTTCGTGTGTAAGGAAAGAAACAGTTCTATAGCATCTCATGCTCTGACGTTTCATTGAGCTAAAATCACTGCACACTCTGCTGTGAGACAACAGTGGGGTCATTTCCAAAATCAACTATTAGAAAAGTTATCAAAAAAAAAAAAGGTTTTTGGAAAGAAAGTCATCATTGGACGTTTTTAGAGTGCTGCACATTCAGAACATTCCCTTCCTGTAGCGGTGGATCAGCTCTGATACGTCTTCCTTACACACCTTTATCCAGCCATCCTCCTGCATGTGGTACACTAGACAAACACACACACACACACACACACAAAACACACACACACACACACCCACACACACACACACAAAACACACACACACACACATATTACTTCAAAGGTACACATAAAGACAAGAATGACAATGTAACTCTTTCAAGTGCTCACAGACCATGGCTTCATACATTTCATAGCTCTATAACATGCTGTTATTTTTTATGCATCTATTTGAAAGGTATCAGATGTGACGTGACAGGAAATGAGGAGAGAGACATGGAACAAAGCTCCCCGGCCAGACACCAACCAGGTTTGAGTTCAGAGGTTGACTCTGACATGAGGTTGTTTTGTTTGGCTTAATTTTATTCTAATTCTTGTCCATGCTCTGTTTTATATTTTTTCATATCATGGAACACATATCGACAGTAATAGTATTGGATTTCATAACACTTGCGAAAAAAAGAAACACTTATATTGCTTTAATAAAAGTAAGGAAACACAGAGGACTACTGGTACAATTTTAAGCTGAAACCATTAGTGAGTTGTCCATAAAGTATTTTTTCAAGCAAAAATGCCCCAAATTTGCTAGTTTGAGTTTCTTATATGTGAGGATATGATAGGAACCAAAGTTCATGGCAATCCATCCAATAGTTAAGATTCCCATCTGGACCAAAGTGAACTGACCAAAAACAAAGATATGCTTGAATAGTAAATGTAAAAGAAAGCTGAGGAGCGTTCTGAGAGTCTACTCACTGTTGACCACCCCTCCAGAGTAGGCGTCCCTGTGTGTCGCGTGAACGATGCCCCGACGGCCCAGCTCATACGCCTCCTCCACCGTCATGTCCTCCCGGTAGCCGTTGTCCACCACACCGTAGGCGAAACTGCTTCCACAGCCGGTAGAGAACATTCGGCCGGACAGACGCGTCCCTCCATCGTCCACGTAGTACAGACCAGGGCCCTGGAGAGCACACAGACATTGAATTATCATTTTACATACAGGCAGCAGTTTCTGAGCCTCGAAACACAAGCTGCTGATAATATTTCACCATAATAACATGCTGTCATTTGGGGTATTACTTTCAAATTTAGTTTCAAATTAGCTGCTACATCAACGACGGTGTACCTGATTCTTTAAGAAATTATAGGCGACATTAATGCATGTGTTTTGAGATGCAGCCATATGGCTCTACATTTCATGTGTCGTACTGATTTGAATATGTTGTGGTTTCATGTTTTTGTTACTGGAACCCGAACCGTAAAAAAATGAACCGTTCAATGACGTAGCCTCCAAACCGATCGGTGGGCCTGGTTTAAATGTTATCTAGGTGATGACTATTTTCAATAGTTTTCACATTAATGAAAGCTGTTTGAATATAAAGCAACTTAGCATCATTAATATTAAATAATGCACCAGTATCACTTTTTTTTATGAATCAGCCATATTAACAGGAACATAAAACATCCATATTAAGCATCCTGCCTCAAACCACAACATCACTATCCTCTCCTACCACAGTGGGGACATTTCTATTGAGCTCAGATTGTGAGACTCACCCACACACACCCACAGCTTACCTCTTTGTCCCATCCACAGATCATGCTTCCCATAGAGAGGCCCATGCCTCTGTAACCCAGCATCATGTTGCACAGCAGCTTGGAGGCAGCAGCCACAGAGATCCTGTGGTTGTTCCTCAGCCTGTACAGCCTGGATGGACGTCAAAATATAACAAATCAATTAAAACATCAATCAGCCATGGAGGTGGTCCAGGCTGGCCTGATCTTGTGGCCTGTCAACTATAAAAGAAAATACTGGCGATATTCCTCCTGGGTTTATAGGAATACTGACTTTTTATCCTTTTATCTTATTGTGAAAGTATGTTTTCATTTAAAAACTAGAATCAGCCCCTCAGGGTTGTATGCCTGCGACACGTCATGTTGAAGTTGTCCATGTCTGTCTAAATATCATCAAATATCAACATGCATATCTTCACACAAACTCAAACAAAATCAGAGCTTTCTCCCGTTTCTTTCCTTGACCAGATACTTTACTCCACTGTGCATGCAACTTCCTAACACATTTTACATAGTATGTGAGCAGCATAATACACAGATACATAATAATTACATTTCAGGGACTGACCGATCAATATTCAAAACACTGCAACAGACCTGCATTCCTTGGCCAGGAGTCTCTCCCAGTACTGGCAGTCTGCAGCGCTGCCCGACATGGTGCCCAGCAGGTAGGGGTTGATCTCTATGACCTTGTTGACGTCGTTGGATGCTGCAGAGCCAGGACACATTTGGGTAAAGGAGACATTTTGTGACCAAGACTACAGGCTGAAGCATGAAGAAGCCCAGTGTAGCAGCACCTTGGTTACACGTATTGCCTTATTTACATTTTGTGACTTCATGGTCCCTAAATGTTACATTTAAAGCTCCACACCTCTTTGATATGATGCATGTTGATGGAGGCTGGGCAATATATGACTGACAGGGTCAGCCCACTCTATAACTCCTTCATTTCCTTTACAGAAGCTAACACATTGCATTACATTTTGTGTAGTTCCAATTTTCTAACCTTTTCCAGGTCTGCATAAGAAATAATAACTTGTCCATGTCTATTTACCTAAGTAACGTCCTGCTGAGGCTCTGGAGTCCACAGCCACGATGACTCCATGTTTGAACTTGAAGGCCAGGGTGGTCGTACCATGGTTCAGGTCTATAGACACACCACCGTCACGGTTGCAGGATTTGAGAAACCCTGAGGGCTAAAATGAAACCAAAGAAGAGAACTCAGTGGGACTCATGATGCGTAATGGCGTTAAGTGTGTGTGTGTGTGTGAGTGTGAGTGTGTGTGTGTGTGTGTGTGTTTGTGTGTGAAATATTATACATAATGTAATATTCTTTAACAATAATTCCTAGTTAAGATGAATGCATGATATGACATTCCATAAGAAGCAAACTTCACCACACACTGAAAACCACAGACGCGTAAAATACGTTGAACCACAGCGCGTCTGACGCTTCACGCTTGTGGCATTAGGCTTACTGGTTACGATGCAAAGTATTCATTTTGTACCAAAAGTTAGTGAAAGGATACTCACGTCTACACCCAGAGGTACAGCAAATTCCTGAGTTTTGGTCCCGAAATTGTAGTGGTTGGTTCGGTCGACGAGATGCGTCTGTCCTGCTGGAAGAATCTGCCCACGGAGTTCAGCATAAGGCGTAAAACCAGACACTTGTAAAAGAGCCATTATGTATTAAACTATATTCTAATTATATTCTACAAGTTTAGGTGTTAAGTTTTCCAAAATGACGAAGGCGACTGAAGAAGCGTCACGGATAATTTCCTGGTACGGGAGAAAGAATTCGAAAGTGAAAGGGTTCAAAAGCTATTTTATTGTAGTCTTGTCCTGCATGCAAAATGAGTCATCTACACAACATCGACGAGTAACTATTTATAAATACATTTAGCAAATCCTTTTTTATATAATAAAATGTTAATTGACAAAAACAAAATAAAAACAAGACTGTGGCATTTATTTTACTGTAAATAAAAAAGATGGCTCAAGCTCGCATCAACCAATAGGAGAGCCCTGTATGTGTGTCATCATCAGTCTCTAAGCAGAGAAGCAGCGCTCAGGTTTGGGGAAGCCAGCACAGGTCAATAACATTATTAATGCGGGTTTGCATTTCATATTTATAAAAATACACAGTATCTACTGTAGTTAGGTAAATAACGTGTCAATGACGTATTATGACGTATACATTCACATATAAGCCCTTCTTTTTTATCGGGTCTTTATCAGAAGTACAGGGCTGCTGTTTGGGGCTTGACATATTATAGTAATAATACATTCAATAAATTATTACAAAACATGAAAATAAACAGCAACAGGGGTCAAATACAATTTCATTCAAAGATATTTTTATTATTATTCCACATGTTACAGTCTTCTCATTTGGTCTATAGCAGTCTCTCTGTTTACTGCATTCAGCCACATCACAGTGAAGAATAGAAACCATGTTGACAATGTTAATCAAATGTCTGAGATGTTTCACTGCTTGCATTTAAAAACTAGTGTATGACAATGCAATGAAAGCAAAGACTTTTCACTTCACTGCTAAAAGTGGTGTTTATAAGGTGTGACTGTGCATCGGCTCAGGCTGTATCCATCCGCTGCACGGTCTCTTCTACAACCTCCAGCTTCACGGGGACTACTTTCTCGGTCAGAACCGGTGTTGTGCCTGGACCATATTTGTATTTTGTTTTCCTAGGAGAGAGGAAGAGATGGATGGATGGATTCAATAATTAAAAAGCTTCAGGGTTACATGTAAGTCACAACCAAACACACAGAAAACATTAATGCATAATAATCACACAAGATATTCACCACTCTGAGAGGGAAATCTGATTTGCAGACATGGTTCAATATAGTCTCTTGTTTTAAAGTAGCAGTGTGTACGGTTTAGAGGTATTTATTGGAAGAAATATAATGTAATATTCATAGCTATGTGTTCATTAAAGTATAATCGTTGTGTTTTAGTAAGCTTTGAATGAGCCCCTCTTATCTACGTACATAGGGAGCGGGTCCTCTTCATGGAGTCCCATGCACAGCCATGTTTCTACAGAAGCCCAGAACGGACAAACTGAACGGCTCTAGAGAGAGCCTTTCGTGTTTTTACATTACCTGAAGGCCACCGTAGTTCTGACACACTTGGAAAGGGAGGGGAAGCAATCTGCAACCTCATCACCAGAGACGACTAAACCCTGCACACTGCTCCTTTAAGAATCCCTCCAGAGAGCAGATGAAGTCACACTCATACCTTTTGTCTTTGTACTCGGACACCTGGTACGGTCTGATGTAGTCCACTCCTGGTCTGGTGATGACACAGATGTCGATGTTGTTGCCTGATCCGAGGTCACTCATGATGCCTGCATGGATGGCAACACGCACCAGCTCCTTCGCCTTGTCCAGCTGAGAGAGTTACGAGAAATTAGAGAAATGACGGAGAGAGAAATTCCCAAAATACCTACATGTTCTTTAGGTTTTTCTATTTGCTAATTCAATAGGGATGGGAATATTCAGTTAAAGATGCCCAACAGTACATTCAATTATTTAGTGATGGTGTCTAAATGATCATGACTATCGATCCTTCTCACGATATGTAACAACAGCTGTCCAGGTGGCGTACCTCCAGGTCAGGTTTGTACCCGTCCTCTAGAATCCCAAGAGCAGCCAGATCCCCAGATCCTGCATGATGAAACAGATCGTATGTCTGAGAGGGAATCAAATGCATAACTGCAGCAAATTAAAAAATAATCGATAATGAATGATATAAAATGGTGTAATATCTGATGCTTATGTATAAAATAGAACATGTTTTGCGGACAGAGAAAAGAGTTTTACAAAAACTCCACCTGCAACGAATCTAAGGAAAAGATGTGCCAATGCTTAGAGAATATGCTTCTATCACGTATACATACCCATTGCAAGGTAAGGCATCTTATTGACGCTGCCATACGGCCCCACTGTGTACAGGTGGTTCCCAGTGCAATCTACTCCTCCCAGTATAAGGCTGGCACCAATCTGGCCGTGATACCTGAGGGCCACACAGATCAGAACATGGGAAGGTTTTAACGGGCCGCGAGTTTAACTCCTTCACACACCTCTGGATACAAGCTCATGTGCAACACAAACCTGTACAACGTATCCTGTAGTATGTTGACGGCCATGACGACGCGAGGGTTCCTCCCGCTGTTCAGAGAGAAGATGGTGAGGTTGGAGGAGAGGAGGTCCGTGGTCTTCTCTGTATCTGCTGCTGTACCTGCTCCACAACAGCTACGGAGAGAGGAAGTAGAGGCATTGTGAAAGAAGAGGTGAGGGATAATAGGAACAAAAAAAAGCTACAGGGAATCAGGAAGACAGAGAGGAGAAAGATTAAAGAGAGGAGAAAGTGGGGACGGCTTCTTTTCAGCAAATGTTTTGCTTCAACAATTGCAGAAATCCATCATACAAAAAAAGTCAAAGCGACTAATTCCTTCTCCCTGAGTAGCCTCAATAGCCCAGAATGCAATGCAACCACAAATTGCATTTATGTAATCGGTCATTGGTGACGCATTACTGTATTTACAAGTCTCTCTTTAGTAGATTATGAACAAGAAGTCACCACAGGAGTGTAACTGCTCTAATGTGGAAAACCTTCATACTTAATACAAGGGGCACTGTAAGGCATTCTGGGATATGTAGGAAATCTCAAGTAAAGAAGGCCGTTTATGGGACCATGTCCACAAACAAAGGAACACACATTATAGCCTGATAACGGTGAGAGTATTTTGAAGGTAGATTTCTCCGGTTATGGTGTCAGTGTAGCGTGTAGGACACTTACTATATATTTGGAGCAATGTAATGGATCTTGGCGCACATCTTGTCGGCCACCACTTCACTGGATGTGGCTCTTGTGTCTGCTCCCAGAACCACTCCATCCTGCACCGACACAGACCGATTGCGAAGTTTATTACTCAAATTATCATTCAACTGCCCTTTGGGTTACACTTGAGCAAGGCATTAAAATCTCAGTGGGCCCACTGGAGCTACCCAGGCACCAGCAGTGCTGTGATGCACTGGGCAGCTCCCCTCATTGCATTTATGTATTTATCAAAGTTATGCATTGTGGCAATGCAGTTGTGAACAGGGACTGTCATGTTCAGTGATGCAGGGATGGAAGGAAAATATAATAGTCTGGTACACTTTGATTAAGGAATCCAGTGTAAGATTTATGGACTAAATGTTCTGATACATTCATATTATTACAGGTGCAGATTTACACAGCTTTATATACTCGCCTTGAACACCACTCCCGCTATGGTGGTGCCTGTTTTCAGAGGTTTAGGTGTCTGTCCATCAAAAAGACCCTCTAACGCAGCATTCCTAGAGAGAGGGAGGAGGGGGGTGACAGGGGGGGACAACTTATGAATGTATGTAATATATATATAATAACCGTGAATACATCATCACTATGTTGTTTCATTGATCACAGTGATAAGCAAGCAGGGAAAAGTTACTTTCACTTTTGATCCCGGAGAAAGCTCCGTGTTACCGACAGTTTAATTCGTTTTTTTTCTAAATCGATACAATCTGCTGCTCAGAAGACACAAACAGAAGCTCATACCTGGCTGCGTTGTCGAAATTAAACCCCGCTGCAGGAGTTTCGAAGACATTTGATAGCGCCATAGTGGATACTGGACTGCGGCTTCTCTGCGCGTCTCAATGCGCCTGAGGTCGCTGTTCTGAGCGTCACCTCTCCTTCTTCTCTTTCGATTTTGCAGTGAAAATGGAGAAACGCAGCGCGGACTCACAAGTCAAAGGAGTCAGCACAGGGGTGAGTAAATCCGGACCGGTTCACGAGTATCTTTTCTTATCTTGCCTACCGCAGCACCAAAGCAGCACCAAAGCCCATTACGCGTAAAATGATCGATACGCGATTTGGCGGTTGAACAGGTGAGACTATACCTGAAAGGTAACCAAACACAAAGTGAAATGACATCGACTGGACGTCTCGCGTATTTTAATATCACAGTTGTTTGCACGTTGGCACGTTAGAAACGACTGGCTACACTTATATTTTCAGTTTTAAAAGAATCCTTCCAGAAACTCTAAATCCCATGATTCATAGCCTTGCTCAGAGGTGCTGAACTGGACACGAAGCTATGAGAAACGTGTGTGATGCTGTGTAGCCCAGTGTTATCTTTGTTTCCTGTCATGTTTGGCTTAATGTAACTTCTTCATCTCCTCCTCTCCCCCCTCAGACCACCATCCTGGCTGCCACTTTTGAAGGAGGGGTCGTGATTGGTTCAGATTCCAGGGCTTCCATTGGAGGGTGAGGATGTTGGGATGATACACTGAAGATGCCCACATTGTTAAACATATTCGTAAAAAAAAATAAAGGTCCATTTAGAGTCAAAGATGAACTGATTAGAATTTGGTGGTCAAAGGTCACTGTGACATGATGGATGGTAATCCTAGTTTCATTTCATTGTCTCTGTCTCTCTCTCTTCAGGGAATATGTATCATCTAAGACCATCAACAAGGTGATTCAGGTTCATGACCAGATCTTCTGCTGCATGGCTGGCTCGCTCGCAGATGCTCAGGCCGTCACCAAGGCTGCAAAGTTCCACCTGTCCTTACACAGGTGCCACACACACACACACACACACACACATATGAATACAATGGCAGGTGTTACGCATGCACACAGAGACAACCTGCAACATCACATTTTTACATCCCACATTGAAATCATATTTTGTTAATCCCGCTGGTTATTTGGGTTATTTTTAATTCTTACAAGAGGCGAAGACAGTCATACACAGTTGTGTGTGTGCAAACTAACACAAAACCTGTGTGTGCTCCGACAGTCTCACACACACGTGTCGTAAACACACTTTATATATATATGTATTACACTGACTCTTCACCTATACAAAATCATTTAAAAATCCAACACTAATAGATTCAAAGTCTCTTCTTCTCGCAACTGCACAAACTTTAAAGTTTCACCCTCCCTGACCTCTCCCCCCCCACAGTGTCCAGATGGAGACCCCTCCACTGGTGATAGCAGCGGCATCGGTGCTGCAAGAAATGTGCTACAAAAACAGAGAGGAGCTGCAGGCCGGCTTCATCACAGCAGGCTGGGACAGCAAGAAGGGACCACAGGTAGGGGGCGGTCGTGATGACAGTCAAACATCAGGGAAGCCGTGACGATGATCGTCTGAAGTAACTCCACATTGCGGCATACAGCTGCATTACTGATATTCTCCGTCCCTCTGCAGGTGTACGTGGTGTCTCTAGGGGGGATGTTAATCGGTCAGCCGGTGACCATCGGAGGCTCAGGCAGCACCTACATCTACGGCTACGTTGATGCCAAATACAAACCCAACATGAGCAGAGACGAATGCCTACAGTTTGCCACTAATGGTACAGTCGTGTTATTCTACTTGTGTTCCCAAATCGAAATATGTTGGTACTTGTTCTGTCAGTTTTTGGGGGGGAAATTGGGTTGTGATTCCACGAAAATGTATGAATATGTACAAGGATGTAGCAGAAAATGACAGTAAGTCAGTAAATGCTTGCTTGGTTTGTAACGGTTCCAAATGTCAAATGAGAGTTTGACATAATGACACACAGCTTAGCTGAGATGATTGCACTTAAAGGAAATATTGAAATGGAAATCCATTCTTTAGTTGGTGACTTTGTAGCTGTTAGGAGTATAAACGCTGCAAACTGCGTCCCGTCAGTTGTTGAACTTGACCTTTATTTCTCCTTGTCGTTCCGGCCCTCCCTCTGCTTCATCTCTGGATCACAGCTCTAGCTCTCGCCATGGGCAGAGACAACGTCAGCGGAGGCGTGGCTCACCTGGTGGTGATCACGGAAACTGGGGTGGAGCACGTGGTTGTCCCCGGTAACAAGCTGCCCAAGTTCCACAATGAGTGACAGCCTTCGACAACCAATGCAATCTTGACTTTTTCTTTTTTTTTTGGCTTTATGTAAGCAATTGTTTGAAATTCCTGAGCAACAATCTCATCAGCAATGTTCTTTATAGGATTAGGATGTAACACATTCTACACACACACACACCTGAAGAACAAGACACATGAAACAACTTATGAATGTGGAAACAGTGGTGTAAAATCAGTTTTGTTATTATGGTAACCTGCAGACTAGTTTATACAAAATATATACCAAACTACAACATTCTACTTACATCTCTTATAATGCCATTATAGATACAGCTCTATCTGCCTGTCTGTTTGGAAACATTTTAAATATAAATAAACATCTTCCGAAACCCCATTGTTCGTCCTCTCACTTTCTTTTTCTTCTGTGCTTTAAAATATCTTCATGGATATGTGATGTCTGTAAATGAGCGTCCTTGTGGTTCCCCGTGTCATTTTAAGGTTTTCAAATGTTCTTCACTGGTGCATGGTGTATGTCTGTAGTGATTGGTGGCAATGGATTGACTTTGTGGCTCACACAATTTAACAGTTTGGCCAAAGCTGTCACAGTCTGATGCCCACTTAAAGACGAGGTCATCACTGTGTTGAGAAGTGTTGGGGGGGCTCAGGATGAAAAAGACATTAAATACTCTTCAACATGTACCAATACAGTCTAAGTCAATGTTCTGCTGTTTGTTCACAGCTCTGTGCTCGTCAGCTGTTACTGTAATCAAGCTTTAAATCATGAGGGGTGTTTTCAGTGTAACAGCTGTGGTGGAATGTAACTAAGTACACTTCCTCTGTACTTGTACTCTTTCTTTACATGCCACTTTCCACTGTCTGACACCGATGCTTAAAGAGACACACTTCTCACTGAGTTAAATGTGCGCATTTCAACGGGTTCGCAGCTGCTGCTCAGAGGAGGAAGGACTTCACTTTCAATTTCGATTTAATTTAGAAAAAACATGGAGTCCGTCTGATGTGTGCAACAAACGCGTCGAGCACAGTTTTAGAGCTGCAGAGAGGGGTTCACGAGACAACTTTATAAAACCGGGACTGCTCGACTGAACGTTCGGGTTTAACGTCGGGTGTCAGCTTTACTTCCCCGTCAGACGGATACGGTCGTTGTTGTCGTTGCCAGAAGTGCATCAACATGTTGGAAGAGACGGGGCCAGAGTGGTTGTCTGAGGAGGTGAAAACCGGAGTAAGTAGAGATCTTTAGCGTCTTTGAGAGACTTGGTGGCGCTGAGAACCGGTGGCTTACATCATGGACACATGGTGCGGTGCGGGAGATGAATTCTGAATGACCTTTCCTCTGTTTGTAGACCACCATCATCGCCATAGAGTTCGATGGAGGGGTCGTGCTGGGGTCTGACTCCCGAGTGTCTGCAGGGTAAGTGTGCGCGCGCACTTGTGTCCAGTTCTATCTGCATAATACTATCTTTACTAAGACATCAATAGCTTCTTGTGTTTACTGACACTAAACCCTTCCCTCTTCCTCTTTCCTTACATGCAGTGTCGCTAGATTAGAGATAAAAGAACTGAGACAATGACATGCAGTTGAGCTTCTAACCAGAAATGCAAAAGTAATATGCAGATAAATGTGCATATGTATAGTGATAATATATACAAGGTATAAGATATATCCAGGAGGCTATGATTAACCTACACACTCCCCCTCTTCATCCCTCCATCCAGGGCGTCGGTGGTGAACAGGGTGATGAACAAGCTGTCTCCCCTCCATGACAGGATCTACTGCGCTCTGTCAGGCTCTGCAGCAGACGCTCAGACCATCGCTGAGGTGGTCAACTACCAGCTCGATGTCCACAGGTGAATACGCACTCTAAATAGACCGACAGACTCGTTGACCTTTTATTAGATATCCCATGATGGCAAAGTATAGTCCTACTCGTTTTGAGGTGCCTTCCTGACCTCACTACAGAGAAACAGCCCATAAAATGAGCAAGGATTGCAGTATATTTTGCACCTTTTATGTATTCATATAATTGCTCAGATAACAGTTTCCCTTAACAGTGCAAATGCTGTTCCCGAAGCTTTTTAATATTATATTTCAAATTCTGAATACGATATCACAGAGTGAAATATTTTAGCTAAAGGATTCACATTGATCACTGAGTTTCAGCTACTGGCAGCTTCAATGTGAAGATAACATAAATCTAAACCACAATGCTCACAGCGTTTGTCTTCCGCGTTTTTTATTGGAGATCCAGCATCATGTTTGTTTCTACGTCTTCCTCTGTCAGTATTGAGATAGATGAGGAGCCCCAGGTTCGCTCAGCGGCCACTCTGGTGAGGAACATCTCATACAAGTACAAGGAGGAGATGTCGGCCCATCTCATCGTGGCCGGCTGGGACAGAAGAGATGGGGGGCAGGTCAGTAAAAACATATAGATGACTCCATTCTGAAAGGAAGAGATTCAAGCCTTAAACAAGAAAGATCACTGGGGGAAAAATATTAATGTCAAAATGAATGTCTGCAACACACATGATGTTACAGGAGTGCATACAGAATGACATTGTGATCTGTCTTGCTCCTCTCTGTGCCTGTGCCCTCTGACCTCTCCCAGGTGTTTGCAACCCTGAGTGGTCTCCTGACGAGGCAGCCTTTTGCACTCGGTGGCTCTGGCAGCTCATACGTCTATGGGTTTGTTGACGCTGAGTTTCGCAGGGGTATGAGCAAGGAGGAGTGTCAGCAGTTCGTGGTCAACAGTAAGTTTTTTGGTCAGGCAGTTTATTGGATGGTGAAAGAGACACCAGACTCTACTGACTGCTGAGAAGAGCTGGCTGTTCTGTCTCATAATGTTATTTAACATATGTTGTCCTATGAAACCTCTCCTCACCTTTCTCACCCCTTCTCTTCTCTTTCCCTCACTCAGCTCTGTCTTTGGCAATGAGCCGGGATGGCTCCAGTGGCGGCGTGGCCTATATTGTCTCCATTGATGAACACGGCACAGAGGAGAAAGTGGTTCTAGGAAACGACTTACCCACCTTCTTTGACCAGTGATACTTACAGTTTTATCATCTCCAGTCTGCAAGCCACTGCTGTGCAGGATGCAATTAGGTATTTGTTTTGCTCACAACAGCCACTACAATAAATAAAGCTGATTCTGATACATACACTTTGGCTCGGCTGTCAGCTAATTCAGCTTGTCAAATAAAAATAGTAGATAACAATACTTTTACTAAAAAGTTTCATTTTAACAAAATCATTGCATTGCTCTGTGATACGCAAAGCTATGTCATGTTTAATATCAGGTCATTTAAAACCCTGACGTCATTTGTGGCTCATCATTAAGAAACTTAAATATAACAAACAAACGCTGACATTAGGTGACCTTTATTGATTTATCTTCCAAGGAAAAACTGCTGAGACATGATTCTTCCTTTCAGTCTCTGCATGTGATTCTAACAAGGTTATCTCACCAGATACACCGGTAAATATTATGTCCCCTTTGGCCAAGTTCAGGAAAGCTTCACAGAGTTGGATATGGAATTGTCAGTATGTCTATCAAATAGTCTTTTTTTCTCAGATGACAGATGTGTTTTTTTCAATGGCAGATGCCGATATGTAGAGAGCAGGGCTTATAATGCGGATATATTATTGTTGGGGTTGTTGTTTTTGCTTCTAATAAAATACAACAATGTATTAATAATAACTGGGAAGAGACCCCGGGGAAGACCCAGAACACGCTGGAGAGATTACATCTCCCAGCTGGCCTGGGAACGCCTCGGGATCCCCCAGAATGAGCTGGAACATGTTGCTGGTGAGAGGGAAGTCTGGGTCAGCCTGCTTGGCCTGCTGCCACCGCGACCCCGACCCCGGATAAGCGGAGGAAAATGGATGTATGGATTAATAATAACAAATACAACACAGAATTGAGGCCTTTATACACCGAATGTGTGACGAATAAATGAGACGAAAACACTACGTAGTGGCCTGTGATTGGGGGCTTTTATTGTGAAAGATAAGAACAGAGGGAGTGGATGTGTCATCGCTGCCTTTGTCAAGGTGGAAATTAGTAATTAAGTTTGCCGACTGATTAAAATGTGGTGGTCAAAGGTCACTGTGAACTCATAAAACATGTGGGCATAACTCTGGAATTCATCTGCTAATTACGACAATTTCACACAAATGTCTTAGAGGATAAAATGATGAAGGGATGACGTTTTGGGCAGAAATGGATGTAAACTGTAACATGACTGGTTGTCGGAGGCTTATAACAGCAAAAAGGTAATACTAGTTTCAAACTGTATTTTTTGTCATGAATACTTTCACACAGAATTTAAATTATTGCAGCAAAAAAGCGACTTTATCAGAACGACACATCAAATAAATACATTTTAAAAACTAAACCCAAAAACCTATAAATGACAAAGTGTTTTAGTGCACGTAACATTGATCATATAGCAGCATGTCCTTGTTTCTAAGAGACAACAAAACTGTTTTAACTTGCATATAAAAAGTAAATAAAGAATGTTTGTTGCCTTCCTTGGCGTTGGCTCAGCGGAATATAAAGAAATAGTCTGCGTCTCAAAGTGACAGTTATCGGTCTGATTACTCACCACTAGTTTAATGAGGCTTAGTGCAGAGTAAATACAAGTAATGGATGAAACCTGCTAAACAATCAGCCTCACTATAAATAGTTCCACAGAAACACTCACTGAGCAGCAGCAGTTGTCTGTGTGAGCTATTCAGTGTGACAAGCATGACAGCAAAAAGTCAAAGTCGAGTTTGTTATACCACCTCGGTTGATGGTTGGTCACCTGTCTACATGATTTAAGGCCTGCTTAAATGTAAGCCTATACATGCATTTTAAATATACATTATCATTGTGCATATGTTCCCGCACGTGCTTTTATGTCTATTATATCAAATTTAAAATAAAATTGTGTTGTGCCTGTGTTGAAAGATGAATTGTTTTATTTCTCTTTTCTTCACAATGCATCCCTTTATATGCTGTTGTTATGTCTCAGTCACTGACACTATGTTAGAGCTGCTGTGTCATGCAGGTGGTTAGTAATAATCAGAAATGGTTGAGGAGTGTAACCCACTCAGTTTAGGAATCCTGAATATCGTCGTGTGCGGAGCAGTTGGGATTTCGGGGAAACCACTGGTCCAAAGCAAGAAAGTGAAAGTGAAAGTGGACAAAAACATCAGTACAAGACTGCAGAGACAGAGCAGGGTACGCAGACGACTGTAGCTGCAAAATGGCAAGAAATACAGCAACAGTTACCCGCAAAGTCGTAGCTTTGACTTTAGCAGTCTGCGTCGACCTGTCCTTGTTTTACGCAGCGGGACTAGTGGCGACTCGCAGCGTGTTTGGACATTTTGCGCGTCTCTGGGTCCACGCGGCTCTCCGGTGCTCGGCACTAACCGCCGTAACTCTGCTCGCCCTCGGAGACCTCAACCCGTTGCTGATTCGTGTCATCGCGTCGCACTGTCTGCTGCCCGCGGTGTTTGAGACCGGGACCAAAGCGCTCTACCACGAGGAGACCGAATGTGGCTTGTCGGCGGATGCGCGCTGCTGGCTCATGTGTGCCGGAGCGTCGCTGGCCGGTGCGCTGTTTTGGGAAATCACCGTCCCGGACGCCGACGACGCGGCTGCCGGTAAAGAGAAGAAGCAGAAAGCCAGAGTGCTGTTTGTGAGAGTCCTGCGCCTGTACTCCCCCGAATATCTGCTGCTGCTTGGGGGGCTTGTGATGCTGACGTTGGCTGTTTTGTGTAAGTAGATGGTGATGATAATAATGATGATGATGATGATGATGATGATGATGAGCATAATTAATTGTCATTCCAGTAGCCTACATGATGTACATGAAAGGCAATGAAATTAAGAACTCAGGTTCCAGTGCAGGTTGATGAGGATGATTTTGATGATTTCAGCCCATAGTAAAGAGATGCTCAGGAAATGGACAATTATGAACTATCAGCAGTGGAAAGTATTTTTTTAAGAATACTGTCATTGTCACTATTTCCACATATTTTCAATTCTCAATGTGGGAATTGAAACACTATTGCTGAAGAGATACGCTGGACCACGTTCATGATGATGATGATGATGATGATGATGTTGATTTGCTGGCTGATGCACCTTTATCTCTCTGTATGTGTCTGATGTGTATTCTGCACGTCCCTCTCAGGTGAGATGTTCATTCCGTTCTACACTGGGAGAGTCATTGACATCCTTGGCACTCAGTATCAGCCGAATGAATTTGTGTCTGCGCTCCTCTTCATGGGCCTGTACTCTCTGGGCAGGTATGGGACTATTCTTTCCCCTCCTCACTCTGGTGGCTCACAAGGTGAATTCTGACTGACTTGTCTCTTTTTGTCATCTGTCAGCTCTCTGAGTGCAGGCTGCAGAGGGGGTATCTTACTTTGTGCCATCAGTGCCTTCACATGCAGGATGAAAGTCAAGCTGTTTGGGGCTTTGACCAAACAGGAAATTGGATTCTTTGAGACCACAAAGACGGGTAAGGCTCTTATATGACATGCAAACATACTGCATGAATAATGTATCAGTGCACATGATGGATGGAACAAGTCATGTCAAGACAAAATCACACGTATAAAGACACATATATTGGACGATACTGAACAAGACGAGTTAAGAGAAACCGGGCAGAATGGAGCAGAACATACAAGGGTGTCACAGGACGAGACATACTAGAGAGGAACATGACAGAACCTAACAGAAAGTCATTTCTCTGTATTTTCTGTGTAGGTGAAATCACATCCAGGTTGTCTAAAGACACCACCTTGATGGGAAGAGCGGTCTGTCTCAATGTCAATGTGCTGCTGAGGACGTTCATCAAGACACTGGGCATGATCTCCCTGATGATGAATCTTTCATGGAAGCTCACATTCCTCGTATTGATGGAGACGCCCATCACTGGCCTCATTCAGAACATCCATGACACACACTACCAGGTAAAAGGCAGGTTCATAAGAAATGTTGAATTGACATTGAGATCCACAAAATCCTGTTTATGCATCATTTCCATCCCTATTTTTAGACATTTTAACTGATCAAAAACTCCTTCTCTTCAAAGGATTTAGCAGACATGTCTTTATGTCTTTCAAAAGACAAATGGTACTCAGAAACAAAACAAAACAATATTAAACCATTGGTTGGGCCCATCTTCTGTCTCTGATGACAATATCTTATTACAGATTCAAATGATTTATTTCCTTCACTAATGTACAGGACTCTGGTTCGCCCTTACTTATTCAACTTAAAGCTACTATGTGGAACTTTCATTTTGTGTTGATTTTGATGCTCTCTGTGGACAAAAGCGGTTGTGTTTCCGAGCAACAGAGTCCATTTTACAAAACCTCTCATTTTACTGCCGCGGGTTCTGACAGTCTGCCCCTCACAGTCCTGGTTCTGGTTCTGTGTCCTGTGCCTCCCTCCCCGCCAGCGGGCTCAGAAATACTGCTGGCCTGAGTAGGAGCTGCTGGAGAACATCTGAAAACTACTTTTTAAATGATTCAACCGAAACAACCAGCACTGTGTCGTCAACTTTTTTCCAATGAAATTAGATAGTAGCACTAGCTCCAAAAGCTGCTAAATCGAGTGAGAAAGTCGCCAAGTCGGCAACACTGACAGCCCCTCCCTTCTGGCGTCCCCCCAAAGCCTCAAATTATCATTATGAGCATAAACAACAAACATGGCTTTGGAGTGCTTTTGGAAGCATGAATGCAATCGTCAGAAGTTAAAAGCTAACGTTAGGCTATAAACAAACTGCACCTCGGTCGCTTAAGCGCAAGTTTACACAACAAGGCTGTAAAGGCAGACTAGCTGACGTGATGACGCATTTAGACACTTGTTAGCACCCGTCTTTTTAAAGACATGGAAGAGCTTCAAAAGTTGAAAGTACTGACAGATTTTTTCTATGTATTTTTTTAAATTTTATTTATTTCAGCAAATATAAAAAAAAGTTTCTAAAATACATTCTCTACCCGAACCTTGAGTACTAAGATGACTTTCATTGTCTTTTTGTATTCCTCCCTCAGCGGCTGTCCCTGGCGGTGCAGGACTCGATGGCTCAGGCAAATGAAGTCGTGAACGAGGTAGTGTCCAGTATTCAGGTGGTACGGAGCTTCAACACAGAGAAACACGAGGCCCGTCGTTATGACAACCGCTTGATGGACACACACGTCCTCAAGACAAGCCAGAACACCGTCAGAGCTGTTTATCTTCTCGCACGGAGGGTGAGAACTTTGTCATTTTTAGAAAAATTAGGTAGTTGTGAACGTAGCACTGAGCGTATCATTGTATATCACCTGATGTAACAGTAGTTTTTCCTGTGTGTGTGTGTGTGTGTGTGTGTGTGTGTGTCTATAGTTGACAGGGTTAGGCATGCAGGTCGTCATGTTGTACTACGGCAGGCTGTTCATCCAGAGTGGACAGATGACCACTGGCAACCTGGTTTCCTTCATCCTCTACCAGTCAGATCTTGGAGACAACATCAGGGTATATAACTGCTTAGTTTTAATGTTTTATTGAAAGATGATACAGTATGATATGTACGTAGTTGCTTTTAAAAGAATGTCCTCAGGAATGATATTCAATTGGCTCATAGCTTTTAAGCATGTCCAACCACACTATCCTAAACATATGATTGCATGCAAACATATTTATATTTAACATACTGCAGCTTTGACTCTATAAATGAAAACATTATGTTCTTAAGTGCTCAGTTTTATGACATTTTTTAGACACTCACCTACATCTTTGGCGACATGCTGAACTCGGTGGGGGCTGCTGGGAAAGTGTTTGAGTACCTGGATCGAAAACCTCTGGTCAGCATGGAGGGGAAACTCAAACCGGATCAGCTGACAGGGCACGTCATCTTCCGCGATCTCAACTTCGCCTATCCTACATGCCCCAACAAAACAGTGCTGCAGGTGAGGACCGGCAGACAGACAAGGGGACTTCTTTAGCATGCATTTGTACAGTTCATGGAAAAATATATATATTGAAATGAACAGTGGAAAAAACAGGATGCGTATAGAAAGTGACAAGCTAAAGTAAATTATTTACACAGGCGTTCCCTCCCAAGTATTTACAACTACTTATAAACTTATTGTTAGAAAAATATTACTCGAGACCTGGTGAAAATCCTTAAACAGGACATTTATTCTTGCAAGAAGGAAACAAGAGTTGAAACACAGTTATGCATCAAGGCTGCTCAAAGGTCTGTGAGTCTCTGACATATATACTGAGGATAACAGACAAGTGCGTTGGAACAGAATGATTTGCATAAAGTCTGGACATCGCTTGGACCCGTTTCTTTGATAATTCGTTCTGTCGAGGGTCATCTTATCCTGATCACGGAAGACGTCATGGTTGCAAATCAGCCTACGTACAGTATATACTGACGTGAACACAACAGATTTACTATCTTCCCTTGACGCCCGGTCATAAGTAAACAAACAGATGAGATAGCCATTAAGAAAGACAACTAAGACACTTAATGAAGAACACAGCTGAGAAAGCTTGTGTGAAGATTGGTTCATACAAGGACACGGACTTTATGGAACCAGCTGCTTAGATTACAGTGGCTAAACAAAAACATTAAGTTTTTCCAACACTTATGTAGAATCAACTACAGACACAAAACTCTATTTTGTTTTCGTTGTTATCTCCTCGTTTCAGGACTTTTCTTTGGAGCTGAAGTCAGGTCAGATGACTGCACTCGTGGGTACATCTGGAAAAGGAAAAAGCACATGTGTGAGTCTGCTGGAGCACTTCTATGAGCAGCAGGATGGAGAAATCCTATTGGACAATGAACCTCTGAAATCCTATGACCACCGCTTCCTCCACAAGAAGGTAATTAATAATTACGGCTTTTTCAAGTGATGCACACTACTCTTTTGTTGTGACCTCCTGTCTTAGAGAATTTCTGTCTCTTATCTGCGTTTGAATTGTTTTTATAGTTTCAAATACAACATTCGACAATCCACACGGGAAGACATCTATTGTGAAAAAACAAGAGATTACTATTACTAGCCTATTTAGACCAGAATGCAGTTCAACCATAACACATGTTGCACATTGAGTAATGGCCTGATGAGTAGACTAAATGGAAGATAAGATAAGATGGTCCTTTATTAGTGCCATCAGTCTGATGAGAGTGTGTTTGACAGATTGCTGTGGTGAGCCAGGAGCCTGTGCTCTTCTCTGGCTCCATCAGAGACAACATCGCCTACGGGCTTGCTGAATGCTCATTGGATGAGATCCAGGAAGCAGCACGCAAAGCCAACGCCCATGACTTCATCATGAAGCTGGAGAAGGGCTACAATACAGGTAACCTTTTTATAACCACCCCTGCTATTGTTTCTACATCGAGTAAAAACCTGCTTTGGATGGTCGAGTGAAGAACATAGCATTTGTAGAGATTGACTTTCTATTTATTTTATTTTTTTGTAATTTGTAATTTTCGGACAGTAGTTTAGATTACAAAGTATACACCATCACCAGCATATATGCTGTCCACAGTTTTTCAAAATTGGGTAACTTTGTATAATTTGGGAGAGTGTACACAGTCAAACTCTATGCGCTGTGAGTTGCATTATTCTCCGAAACGCCAGAGAGCGTACAAACAAAATGAACTGTGAAGAATCAAAAAGACAACGAGTGTAACTCATAGATATGCCCGTAGACTGTAGGTGTAACCGGTAAAATGACATAAACTAACCTCCACAATGACCTGGATGAAATATCTGTAAACTCATATCTGATATTGATGGACTACTTTATTGCCTTTGTACAAGCCCTGTAAAGAAACAAGTCAAGTATTACATGCATTATAAAGAAACGCAACATTATTGCCCGCACCTCGCACCGGCTTCACTACGTCAAGTATAAACTAAGCTTGAGCTGGCGTCTAGCAGCTAACAGTGCTAACAGAGCTAACAGTGCAAACAACGGCAACAGTGCGGACAGGACGAGCAGTGTAAACTTGGGGGAGTAACCTGAAGGCGTCTCCGCGACGACGCTGTTGGTCAGGACGCCCTTATCATCTGTTACCGCCATACGGGCGCAGTGCAGAGCAGTGGCCACTAGCTAACCAATGGCGCACGCTAAAGCACAGAGAAGCTCGGATTACAACACACACACAGAGGGAGAGTGACGTCATTCTCTGTCTTTCTGTATCTGCATACCACCTTGAACCTCAATCCGTCATGATTTTATGATGTTATTTCTCAGAGGTGGGTGAGGGCGGCGGCCATCTATCCAAGAGCCAGAAGCAGCAGATCGCCATTGCTCGAGCTCTGGTCAGGCAGCCACAGGTCCTCATTCTGGATGAAATAACCAGCTCTCTGGACATGACGAGTGAAAATAAGGTATGTCACAACTTCCCTCCGGGCCAGAGTTCATTACCATCAGTCACTTCTGACTAAAAACATACAGTCAGTATTTAAAACATCCAAATTACACATTAAGCTGTCTATGTATGTCTATTTGCGTTTGTAGATTTCTCTTAAATTCACCAAAGGTTACCATTAGATAATGCCTCATTTGCATATTAAAACATGACATGAACATTAACCTGTCTTTATCCAATGTTCCCATTTCTGTTCTTGAAATTAATGAAATTAGCAGTATTTAACAAGATAATGCTTAATTTGCATATTTAATACATTTTCAGAAAACTTGTAATATAGAAAGTAATCGTCTCAATGCAAGTACTCAAATGGGAAATTTACACGGTGATATGTCTGTCATTGACTCTGCACAGATCCAGCAGGCCCTGGCGAGTTGTCCCAACCAGACCCTGCTGGTGATCGCTCACAAGCTGAGGACCATTGAGAGGGCAGATCAGATCGTTGTGATCGACGACGGCAGAGTTCAGGAACAAGGGACTCACCAGGAACTGATGGACCTGAAGGGGAGCTATTACAAACTGAGGGAGGGGAACTCACCACAGTGACAAACCGCTGTCACTGAGCCGTGCTGTGGATCCATGTCATCTGTGAGACAATTGTTCTGTGTGACCGTGATGCACGTTGGACCAACAGCAGCTAACCTAATAAAAGAGTTGTTATTTCGTAAGCCATACTATTTTCTGTGTAATAAAGTGGCCACACACATACTGAACATTTACACACAGACCTGATAAAAATGTTTATGTAAATATTGTTGTATAAATATTGAAAATGAAAGAACATAGACATATGTTTTTCAGAAATGTTAAAAGATGTGGAACCTTCTCAACTTTAGTAGTGTACTTTTGTTCTTATACATTTTGTTGAAATGACATTAGATATTGTAAATTAGTCAAACAAAATGTACGCTATGGTTTTCTCTTTCATGGCCTTGTATTTGGGTACAGATGAATAACACAACAGCACACAGTTGACGCCATAAACTTTTATGATCAGAGTGGCCTAAGGTTGCCTCATGTGTACGTCCCAAATAAAAGATTGATGTTTCAAACAGAATATTTCTGTTGGATTATATTTGTCAAGCCTTGTGTCACATATTTATAAAGCCATTCAACAGATGTGTGTGGGCAGATGACCCAAACCTCTGACTTGTCAATGGGTGGATGAGCAAGAACTTCATGAAGCTAAATGAAGATAAGACTGAGATCCTCATCGTTAGCCCAACAACAAGAGGGATCCTGTTCTTGCTGAACTGGGACATCTGGCCTGCAGACACGATCACAAGAAACCTCGGCGTCGTTTTAGATTTGGACCTCAATTGTGAGCTCAGTTGAATTCATCGACTGCCTTGTTCATGCTTTTGTTTCTAGTCACCTTGACTTCTGTAACGCTTTTTTATTCTGGCCTACCAAACGTAGCCATTGCAAAGCTACGGACCACTCAGAATGCTGCTGCCAGGGTTTTATCAAAAACTAAAATGAGAGATCATACAACTCCTGTTTTACGCAACCTACACTCCCTGTATCTTTTAGAATTTAATTTAAGTTCTTCTCTTAGATTTTATCACACGGAATAGCCTCGCTGCCCTTTTATATGACAGATTGCATCATCATTTTATGATCCTCCACGAACCATAAGATCCTGCAAAGCTGCTCTTTCTTACTGTTCCCAAGGTCGCCACAAACACCTTTGAGGATGCTACTTTTTGCCACGACACCCCAAAAATATGGAACACTCTGCCTTTAAATATAACACTGTAATATAACACACACGCTGACATGTTCTCCCCTCCTGCTTGTGTACGTGTATTGTCTTTAAACCTGAATTGTAAAGCCCTTTGCGCTGAATTCTGTGCGTGTAAAGTGCTATATAAATAAAGTGCATTCATTCATTCAACAAAGGTCTCATAGGACAAAGTGAAAGTAAAATATGTTAAGTGTTATGCAAAAATCTGCATGTGGTTTAGTTTTTAATTCCACAGTGAAAATTCAGAGTTTGCAGGTTTTATGCAGACAACGACGGACCCGGCATGAGTCTCACTGCACTGTGCGATGAAAAGGAGGGAAACGCAGCTCGTAATAATTACTCAAATGTATTTATTCAGGTTACCGAGCGTGGTGGTTGTGAGTTTGTTATACTGGTTAGTAGTCTGAGGCGTTTGAGCTTTTCTAATCACACATTAGTGTTTGCGTTTCTGGTTTGCCTGTTGGGGGGGGGTTGTCTTTATTGTTTGAGCAGACCTGGAAAGTCCCTGACTACCAGCCCTGTTTTTTTTGTTCCGGCAGTGAAGCTTTTTGGAAAGTTGCCCGGTGTCATAAAAACCAAAGGTGCAGTGAAGCGATATGCGGCATTATGTCAAAACACCAACATCCTCTATTGACAGAGAGCAGGCTCAGCTTAGGCAACATTGGTCGCCATCTTGTCGAGACGTCTGTGCCGCCACAAAATGGAGGCTGAAGTCACGTGCTGCAGACCAGTAGGGCATTTCTCCTGGACTACTGCAAGACTTTTAAAACGTCATGTATCCCGATGAGGGATTTGTAAATGAATGGGGGTAGACCCAAACTACAGTTTACACTGACATTTACATTTAAAATAGGTCAAGTTCAAGAATGGTTTATCCCCATTCTTTGTTTGCAATGTCTTGCCTACTTAACTTTTGATGAACTTATTTGCATGTTCCAACATTAACTGAATGATCACATGCTTCTCCGTGGATCTTGTTCTGCTGTTGATTCAAACTTTTTTGAATCACCTGGATGAATTAATAGAATGTGTGGTGATGCGGCTGAAACCAAATCTATTTGTCATTGTTCTTCAAAAAGCTGACACTCTTGGAGATACAACCCGGCTCGGTGACTCATCATAAACTTGGCTGCTTCCCCATCAACAACTGTGTGCTGCCTGCGGGTTATAAAGGCAGGAGTGGAAAAAGCAAATGTCAAAAAGTACGCCATCTTAAGGTGAGACCTTCAAAAACCTTCAAACCCAAAATGGCCGACAGCGTGAGTTTGAAGTTAGTAAATAACGGGTAATTGGTCAAATAAAAGATGATAGTGACTGTGGCAGTATATATCTATGGTGTACTAGAAAAGATTCATGTGCATCCTCAAACCTCAGTGTGCACCTACTGTACTCTGTGTGTGTGTCTTTGGATGTACGTATGTGCTGAGCAGCTTTTGCCTGTCCGGTTCTGCACCATACCAATGCACCACGACACTGCCGAGCTGGAAAGTCCCTTCTCTTCTTACTTTCTCTTTCTGTGCAGTGTTGTGCATTCAGTGACTCATCCAAACCACAATCAAGCCCAAGCTCTTGTGACTGAGAGCATTCTGGTGTTATTGGCACTCCTCTCTACCCCAGAAATATGCAGCTTCTGTCGACTATTTTAAGCAGTTGTCACATAAACATATTTGATATTATACAAAAGATTTGCCACACTGCCTGTCATATGTATAAAACTGGACTGTCTGTCATGACTTCATTGACTTTTAGGCACCAGGGACACTTTGACAGAGCAAGTGGATGTTGATGGAGACACTTTTGAGTTAATCAAACCTTTGTCCTGCACTTCCACCAGGCCTTATAGAATACTTCAAATCAGGTTGTATCTGTTCCGAAGGGTCAGCTATCCCGCTCATATTATATTATATTAAATATATTCAGTGGTAAAATAAGTTTTCAGTCATGTGAAAGTACCACTACAGCGATGTGAAAATACTCTAAGGGGTCACATGGTTTAACCTTAAGTTATTGTATTTTATAAACTCATTGTGTATTTTCTATGTCAAACATTAATTCTTAAAGTAACTCTATCTGTAAATGGAGAGTACAATAGCCTCTCGTAGTGGAGTAGAAGTATAAAGCCGCATAAAATGGAAAATATTCAAATAAAGTACAAGTGCATCAAGTACAGTACTTGAGTAAATGTATGTATCTACTTTCCACCACTGCAAACAGACTTCCCTTAAATAGATGTGCGACACAACCAAAACAATATTAGATTAAGCCTATTGTATATGTCGTATTGTATGTCCTGTCCCTGAAACACGTTAGCTGGTTGGTAGAATCCAACACAGAGGAACTGAAGTGCAAATGAAAAAGAAGTCATTTCAGCGAGATACAGAGTCACAGGACAGATTGGCTTCACTGTCACATAATACTTGCTTCTCTTCTCCTCTTGAAACCAAAAATAATAAAAGGAACTGATGCGGCATAAAGCACAACAGAAATGACACCGATGTAGCTTCTTTCCCACCTCACCTCATTTAGTTTGACAGGTGAGTGAGAATAGAATAGAAGAGTCAGAAACATGGTGAAACACAATGCTACTAAAAGTATTTTAAAAATACATGTGCAAATAAAGTACTTCAGATAAGTCATAATACTATTCTGGATATAATGAGGCAAAAGTAAGCACTGTGCAGTCCTCTTCACTGAGCAGGGAGCTGCAGTGTTATTTAACAGACAGGTAAAGCTCCACTGTCTTTTTGTGAATCCCCTAACTTCCCCTGGGGAGTCGGGCAATTGCAACATTTACTGCAGTTAATGATGAAGAAAAAACATCCAATCAAACACACAGCACATGATCAGTTAAGGAAAGTCCCAGTTTATGACTTCGGAGAGCAAAATGTAGAAAACAGAAACTGATCCTCGGTCAGCTTGAAAAAAAAAAACACAGCCCTGCCCTGTACTGAATCCTTTAAAGCAGAGTAACAGCGCCTTGGTTGGTTGTATTTGCCACTTTTATCATCAGACACGTGATTTCCTGGAAAGTGCCTGCCTGGTAGATTGGCACAAATCATGTTATTCTCAGAAGTCTCAGCAAAAGGCTGAATCATTGCGGGTGACTGCCATCTAGTGAAAGCAACAAAACAGCACTGCAAATGTAAAAAAACACCCCTAACACATAAACCACTTTGGGTTGAGAAGTGGTTACCATACAGCAGTAATGTTATGTGGTATTCTCAGTTCTCTGAACTGTGTAGGTTCTGTGTTGTGTGCATATTAGATCCACAGGAAACCACAAGTGTGTAAGTGCAGAGAGGTGAAAGGGACATCTGAAGCCACAGAGCCACATGAATGTTCTATTCCTCTGTTTAAAGAATTCATACTGAAGGTTGTTTTAGATCGCACCAGTAACCAGAGATACTATGTAAGATGTGTATATTTTAACAGAAGGTTGACACTGCTTCATCGACTTGTAGACTGGGGAAATGGAGGACATTGTATCAGCTGAATTTCAGTCACAGGGCCGTCTCTCTCACCACCACACTGTCTTATGAAAAGTTCATTTAATAGTGATTCAGGGGTTTAAACACCAGGACAGTCAGATCCTCAGGATGTCAGAGGTCTCTAGGAGTACAGCAGGAGGGTGAAGTCATGTGATGAAGAACATTAGAGTCTCAGCACCCCTAGTGCTTCTCTCAGGCATTTTCACAGTGCAACAAGACAACCAACAAGACAACCAACCAGACAACCAACCAGACAA